CGCCCACTTTTTAAACCCCCTTCGCATTCTCCAACAAAGACCGCGTGAGGCTCCGGGCGGGGCGGAAGTTGCAAAATAGCGGGCGGTGCGGGCGTGGAGAAGTGGGGGGGGGGAGGCATGAGAGTACGAGGGAGGGCGTGGCGTGCCCAGACGCAGACAGGCAGACAGACAGACAGCGAGTAGGGGGAGGGAGAGGTTAGCGTGGGGGGGGGGGGGGTGAAGAGGGGGTCGTCTGTCTGGCTGTGTTTTTTGTCCGTCTCAACTCGCGGTATTTTTAACCCATTAGCCGAAGCCACATCAAAGGGATACGGACGATTGTTGATATTCGACTTGCGATGAATTGTTTCTTTGTTTCTTTTTTTTTTTTCTCTAAGTTTGCGATTTGTTTGTAGGGGGGAAGGGGGGAAGGGGGGGATGGGGCATTCCATGTGCGATTTTAAGTTGTATTCAACTTGTTAATGGAGTCAAGAAGGCCTAAAGGAAAGCTAAATTAGATTTTTAAAAATATGGCGGACTTCACCTGCAGCGTTGCCGTCCCTACCTCCTAACCCCCCCCCACCACCACCTCTTGCCCAACCAAGTCTAATAATACCCGCTTGTTTTAACAAGAATATGCAAATTTTCCGCGACGCTTTTAAAGTAGAATTAGAAGACGGCACCAATTTCACCGGATGAGATAAACCTTCCCCATTAAAAAAAATAAATAAATAATGTTAAGAGAGCGTGGATTTATCCCGTACGATTTTTATTTAGAAATGGCAACAGCGCGCGGCCATTCGCAAGAGAGTCCAAAGTCCTAAAGTTGGCGAGAAGAAAAAAGAGAAAAAAAAAAAGGTGAAAATCGCGGTGTTAAATTCAGCTGTGACGTAGTCGGTCTACCCGGTGTGTGGGGGGGGGGGAAGGGGGGGGCAAGATCGAATTATTTATTAGTTGCCAATTAAATGGTGTAATTATGTCATATATGAAATTCGGATTGTGTGATGGACTGAGCAGATTTTGATTAAAAAAATATCTTTCGTGGAGGGATAGATAAAGGGGAGATTAGGTTATCTACTGATATACTAGAAGGTGTAATTACGCTGTTTATTATCTTTTTCATGAGCGTAATATCGTGATGTAAGAGCATATATATGTTTTAAACGTATTTGAGCTTGTTCACGTTTTAGCCAATTCTGTTCTTTAAGCAATGGACAGAATTAAAACAGAATGTATGAATAAAAGGAGAGAGAGAGAGAGAGAGAGAGAGAGAGAGAGAGAGAGAGAGAGAAAATAAGAAATTCCATTCGTTAAAAATAAATTGATGACAATCTCTTTATCAGTATTAGTTACGATTCGGAATTTGTATATTTTTGTATTTCTGTTTATTCGTGTTTTAGCTTCTGCCATGTGGCTCTTCCCTCCCCCCTCCCCCCTAACCCTCCCTCTAGCTTCTTCCCCTCCCCTTCCCCCAACCCCCTACCCATCCCAGACTCTCGCCACACCCCTTCCGCTCCCCTCCCTCCTCCATCCCCCCCCCCCTTAAAATATCCGAAATTCCTTAAGAATGCCGAAGATAGATGTAGTCCTAAAAGCAATATTTCGCTAAAGCCGTTTGCTTGTTCAGGGGCAAAAGGTCTTGGACGGAGAGCTATACTAACGACTTTTTTTTTCCTCTCTCTCTCTCTTCTCTTCTCTTTTCGTCTCTTTAGCGAAATGGCGAAGGAAAGAATTGAAGCGTGCCGCACGTAGCGTTCTCTCTCTCTCTCTCTCTCTCTCTCTCTCTCTCTCTCTCTCTCTCTCTCTCTCTCTCTCTCTCTCTCTCTCTCTCTCTCTCTCTCTCTCTCTCTGTCTCTCTCTCTCTGTCTCTCTCTCTCTCTCTCTCTCTCTCTCTCTCTCTCTCTCTCTCTCTCTCTCTCTCTCTCTCTCTCTCTCTCTCTCTTGGTCTCTCTTTCTTGTACTTCTTTCTTCTTTTCTTTTCTTTTCTCTTCTCTCTTTCTCTCACTTTCTTCTTTCTCTCTCTCACTCTGTCCTTCTCCCTCTCCCTCTCCCTTTCCCTTTCCCTCTTCCTCCCCCCATTCCTCCTCTCCTTCTCCCTTCTCTCTCCCCCTCTTCACCCTCTCCCTTCCTCCCTCCCTCCCTCCCTCCCTCCCTCCCTCCCTCCCTCTTCTCCCTCTCCCTTCCCTCTCCCCCTATTCCTCTTCTCCCTCTCCCTCCCTCCCTCTCCCTTTCCGTCCGGAGTGATCAACGTCCCCTTTTAACCTGTGTTGATTCCCTGTGCTCAAGGTTTAACTTCAGGTTCCTCCTCGAACGCTGTGGAATGTCTTGAGTTTCTGAAAATTTTGTGGATTGATTTTATGTTTTTTTGATGAATCTATTTATTATTGCTGGTATTATTGTTATTATCATCTGCATCTTTTTTATTCGTTTTCGTCCTTATCTTCTTCATGGCGATCGGCTCCTTCTCTACCTCCTCGTCCTCGTCCTCCACCTCCTTCATCTTCTCCTCCTTCTGCTTCTCCTCCTCGTCTTCTTCCTCCTCCTCCTCCTCCTCCTCCTCCTCCTCCTTCTCTCCCTCTTCCTCCTCCCGTTCCCCGTTCCCCTCCCCCCTCCCCCTCCTCCTCCTCCCCTTCCCCCCTCCCCTTCCTCCTCCCCCTTCCCTCCCCTCCCCACCACCACCATAACCATAACATTATTTCTAAAAAGATATATATATATATTTCTTAAAAACTCACTAATAGTCTTCGGTTCAAGTTACCTGTTAGTCCAGACGCCATGATTTACGCGACGACCCACCAACCCTACGATTTTTTTTCCCCTCCTCGTCCTGATAAGCCGCCCCCCCCCTTCCCCCCCTCTCCCCTCTCCTGATAAGCCTAAGAGATTTCCTGATGGCGGAATGTCACGAATCTCCCCCTCCCCTCCCTCCCCTCTCTCCCTCCCCCGCCCTCTTCTCCCCCCCTCCTTAGCCCCAACCCCCCCCCTATAAAGTAATCCACGCTCGGGATTTACCTTAGGGTCGTAATCAGGGTGTTGAGATTAAGGCATGATTAAAGGAGAAAATGTTCTACCCCGGCGGTCTCTGAGGAAGGGGGAAAAAAATGTTATAATAATGATTCTTTCAAAAAAAAAAAAAAAAAAAAAAAAAATGATGTGTGCCTCTGATGGAATTTTTAATGTTTTTACTCATTTTAGTTATTAAAGGGGACAATGTTCTATCCCGGCAGTCTCTGAGGAAGGGAAAAAAATGTTATGATAATGATTCTTTTCAAAAAAAAGGAAAAAAAAAATTGATGTGTGCCTCTGATGGAATGTTTTTGTTCATTTTAGGTTATTAAAGGGAAAATGTTCTACCCCGGCGGTCTCTGAGGAAGGGGGAAATATGCTATAATAATGATTCTTTAAAAAAAAATAAAAAATAAAGAAAAAAAAAATTGATGTGTGCCTCTGATGGAATTTTTTATGTTTTTGTTCATTTTAGTTATTAAAGGGGAAAATGTTCTACCCCGGCGGTCTCTGAGGAAGGGTAAATTTTTTTTATAATAATGATTCTTTCCAAAAAAAAAAAAAAAAAAAAACTGATGTTGGTGCCTCGTGATGGAATTGTTTAATGTTTTTTAAACTCATTTTAAAAAAAAAAAAAAAAAAAAAAATTGATGTGTGCCTCTGATGGAATTTTTTATGTTTTTACTCATTTTAGTTATTAAAGGGAAAATATTCTACCCCGGCGGTCTCTGAGGAAGGGAAAAAAATTTTATAATAATGATTCTTAGAGAAAAAAAATGGATGTGTGCCTCTGATGGAATTTTTTATGTTTTTGTTCATTTTAGTTATTAAAGGGGAAAATTTTCTACCCAGGCGGTCTCTGAGGAAGGGAAAAAAGGTTATAATGATGACTCTTTCAAAACAATAATAATGATTCTAAAAAAAAGGTCTCAAAAAAAATAATTAATTACGAGGAAACTTTCTACCCCGGCGGTCTCTAAGGAAAAATAAAGCATGATAATAATTCTTAAGAAAAAAAGTGTTGCCTCTGACATAGTTTTTATTTTCATTTATTAAATCATTCATATATTTAATCATTTAATCTGTTTATCTGTTTATTTCTCGGTAGCTGAGATTTTTGAGGCGATAGTGAGATTAGCTTCGTGTTTTTTTTTTCTTTTTTGAGAGTTTTATTTAACAGTTTTTTTTTTTTTTTTTTTTTTTTTTTTTTACTTTTTTCTCCCTCAGGAAATGTAAAGGAAAGCCCTCCGATCGGTCTCTAAAGAAAACCAAACGATAACAATTTTTTTCGAGAAGCATGTGCCACGCATGTTTTTAGGTCCTTCTAGAAACCTCACCTTATCTCTCTAAGAAACCAAGCATATGCTTATTTTAGAAACCTGATGTTATATTCGATTATTTTTATTATTTTTTTATTACTTTATTATTTTTATTTTTATTATATTCCGTGTCCTCACGTTTCTTTCTCTCTATCCCTCCTTCCTTCTTTCCCTTCTCCATTTCTCTGAGAGAGAGAGCGAGAGAGAGAGAAAGAAAGAGAGAGAGAGAGAGAGAGAGAGAGAGAAAGAGAGAGAGAGAGAAAGAGAGAGAGAGAGAGAGAGAGAGAGAGAGAGAGAGAGAGAGAGAGAGAGAGAGAGAGAGAGAGAGAGAGAGAGAGAGAGAGAGAGAGAGAGGAAAAAGTGGAAAACAAGCAAATGGAGAGCAGGGACACGTAGGCATCCCGTCCGCCGTGCAACATCCGAACAATGTGTAAGTACATTCTGTCGGAGCCTCGGCCGGGCGCGCGGCGGGGACCCCAGAGCCCTCTCGGGGCCTCGGAGTCACGCGGCCGCTGAGACACTCTAAAACGAAGGCGTCTTTCGTGACCACAGCTTCCTCCTCCTCCTTTTCCTTCTTCTCTTTCTTCTTCTCTTACTCCTCTTCCTCTTTTTTCTTCCGCCGCCACCACCTCCTCTTCTTCCACCACCTCTTCCACTTACTCCTCTTCATCATCCTCTTCTCTCTCTCCCTCCTCCTCCACTTCCTCCTCCTCCTCCTCCTCATCTTCCTCCTCTTCATCCTCCTCCTCCTCCCCCTCTTCCACCTCCTCCTCCTCCTCCTCCTCTTCCTCTTCCTCCCCCTCCTCCTCCTCCTCCTCCTCCTCCTCTTCCTCCTCTTCATCCTCCTTCTCCTCTTCCTCCTCCTCCTCCTCTTCCTCCCCCTCCTCCTCCTCCTCCTCCTCCTCCTCTTCCACCCCCTCCTCCTACACCAGCATACCTTCAGCTCAGCAATACACCTGGCTTTCTGCGCCGCGTGGAGGAAGGCCGGACGGCACTTAGGGCTAACTTTATCCCTCTCTTCGTCGCGGCGAAAAGGAGAATTCAGGAGGAAAAACAGGAGGGGGAGGGGGGGAACGGGAGGAGCATGGGGGGTGGGGGTGTCACCGTGCCCACCTCTGCCAGCTCGGTAACGTCGGCAAGGTGCAAACGAGGGCGTCGGCGGTGCTCTGCGAATCGTCACTCATGATCTCGTTCTGGGCTCGCTGAACAACAGCCTTGTTCAGACCTTTGCTCATGAACATTTGCAAAGGGGGGGAGGGGGGAGGGGGGCGAGAACTTTGCATGATTGCTCGTAAGCGATACGTAGAGCCGAAATTGCGAGATATCTGATTCGTGGTCTTGCGTGTATCCCAGCCATCGCGTCCTGAGAATGCTTGGTAAGAGTCGTTCGTAAAGGAAGGGTCCTTGATCTGGACTAAAATATCGATTCCGCGTGGCTGTCCTTGTTCACGGACGGTCGGAAAAAGGGCGTTGTTGCTGTTGTTGCTTTTTTAATTTTGTTTCTGTGGCCTTGAGGGTTATACATGTTCTCTGAAAGGGAGAGGGAGAGGGAGATGGAGAGAGAGAGAGAGAGAGAGAGAGAGAGAGAGAGAGAGAGAGAGAGAGAGAGAGAGAAGGAGGGAATGAGCGAGAGTGAGAGAGAGAGAGAGGTGAAAGGGAGAGAGAGAAAGAGAAAGAGTATAACAACTACAACAACGAAGAAAACAGAAAACTAGAAAGAGAGAGAGACACCGACAAAGAGAAAGACATCGCGAGAGAGGAAAAGAGAGAGAGAGATAAAAGTAAAAAGAAAAAGAACCAAATTGCAGTAGATGGCACAAAGGCGTGAGAAGGTTGCAAGGGAGGGGTGTCTGCAAGGTTCCCAGTCGAGGGCCAAGTATGGAGCGGCTCGAGGGGGTCTGTGGGCGGAGACGGAAAGACAAACACGTGGGCAAGATGGACCCGAGGTGCCACTTGTCGCCAGTGCCTCCGACCCGATAGCCAGGCCCGGCGCTGCATTGCGAAGGGAGGGGGGAGGGTGGTGGGGGAGGGGAGAGAGGGGAAGAGGGGGGGGAGGGGAGAGGAGAGAGGGGAGAGGAGAGAGGGGAAGAGGGGGGAGGGGAGAGGGGAAGGGTGAGGGAGGAGAGAGGGGATTGAAGATGGGAAGGGAGGGGGATGGGGGGAGAGGGGAGGGGTGAAGTGAATGAAGAGGGGAAAGAAGGAGGGAAAGGAAGAGAAGAGAAGGTTAAGGGGGGATGGAGAGGAGAAAAAAGAAGGGAAGGGAAGAGAATGAGAAAGTAAGAGAGAGAGAGAGAGAGAGAAAGAGAAAGAGACAAACAAACTGCCAGACAAACAGACAGATAAACAGAAAAAGAGAGGAGACAAACAGAGATACACAAGCAAAGAAAGAACAAAAACAGAATATAAAAAAAACAAGAAACAAACAATTAAACAAACAAACAACAAATATAAACCCAAGGTGTGGAACAGGAAGCAGAAAAACAAAAACAAAAAAGTGGGCGCTGAGTCAAAACACAAGAATCTAAATTAGCGAAAGGGAAGGGAGGATGACAGGAAGAAGGAGAGGGAGATAGACGCAAGTGGAGAGGATGAGAACGAGGGCGAAGAGAAACAGGAAGGATAAAAAGTAAAAGAGTAGCGTTGCCGGAAATGTAGAATGGTTGCCCTCTTTTTCTTCCTTTTCTCTTTTTCTTCTTCATCTTTTCTTCTTCTTCTTCTTCTTTTTCTTCATCTTTGTCATCTTCGTCAACATCATCATCTTCTTCATATTCATCTTTTCTTCTTCTTCTTCTTCTTTTTCTTCATCTTTGTCATCTTCGTCAACATCATCATCTTCTTCATATTCATCTTTTCTTCTTCTTCTTCTTCTTTTTCTTCATCTTTGTCATCTTCGTCAACATCATCATCTTCTTCATATTCATCTTTTCTTCTTCTTCTTCTTTTTTTTCTGCATCTTTGTCATCTTCGTCAACATCATCATCTTCTTCATATTCATCTTTTCTTCTTCTTCTTTATCTTCTTCTTCTTCTTCTTCTTCTGCTTTTTCTTTCTTCTTGTTCTCCTCGCCATTATTATTTTTGTTGTTGTTGTTGTTTTCTTCCTTTCTTCTCACTATTCCCCTTGCTTCTTCTCACTCCCTCTCCCATTCCCTTCTCCCGAGGTCAGCGTGGCCTCAGGGTCTCCCACGCCATCCTCTTCCTCATCTCTCTCTCCACCCACTCTTCTTCTTCTTCTTCTTCTTCTTCTTCTTCTTCTTCTTTTTTATCATCTTCATCTTCTTCTTCTTCTTCTTCTTCTTCTTTATCATCTTCATCTTCTTCTTCTTCTTCTTCTTCTTCGTTTTTTTTCCGTCTTATTATTATTATTATTCCCCTCTTCTTTCTCTCCTTCTTAGACTTTGATTCTCTTCCCCTTTCTCTCCCTCTCTCCTTCCGGCTTCTCTTCCCCTCTACCACCTCTTCTTCTCCACCTCTCCTTTCTCTTCGTCTCCTCTTCTTTCTTCCTCCTCCTCCTCCTCTCTCTCCTCCTCCTCCTCCTCTCTCTCCTCCTCCTCCTCCTCCTCCTCCTCCTCCTCCTCCTCCTCCTCCTCTCTCTCTCTTCCTCCTAATCCTCCTCCTCCTCCTCCTCCTCCTCCTCTCTCTCTCCTCCTCTCTCTCCTCCTCCTCCTCCTCTCTCTCCTCCTCCTCCTCCTCTCTCTCCTCCTCCTCTCTCTCCTCCACCTCCTCTCCCTCTCTCTCTCCTCCTCTCTCTCCTCCTCTCCCACGCCCCGTAACCCGATCCCCCCCCCCCCCAACCGCCGTCGCGGCCCCGAAATACTCTGATGATTAAAATTCCCCGACGGCCCCACCGATAGAGGAAAGCCCGAGTGACGCAGCTCTATCCCCCTCCCCTTCCCCCCTTCTCTCTTCCCTTCTCTCTTCCCTTCTTTCTCACCTTCTCCCTTCCTTCCTTCCTTCTTCTTCTTCCACCTTCCCTTTCTATCCTTTCCCCCTTTTCCTTTCTGCCTTCCCTTCTTCTCTCTCCCCTCCTCCTCCTTCCTCTTCCTCTTCCTCCCCTTCCTCCTCCTTCCCCCTTCCCTCCTTCCCTCCTTCCCTCCTTCCCCCCTCCCCCCCGCTCCCCCTCCCCCCTCCCCCCCGCCGTCATCCACCCGTGCCCCCAGTCTAACATTTTTAGCCTGGCGTCATGCAGCGGGAGGGGTTCACGTGCATGGCGGATGGGAGAGCGCCGCCATTTTGCCTACTCGTCTAAAAGGGGGAAGGGGGGGGAGGGGGGATAGGGGGAATTGGAAACTGTATCATGAAGACTGTAGTTGTAAATCCCTGAAGGCTGTAGGTTGTAAGTTCATAACAAGTAACGTACATGTTCTGAGATGCAACCCCGAACATAACCTGCACCCTATACCCTGCCCGTAACCTGTAAGCTGTATGTTGGAACCTGTAGCCTGGAATCTTCTGTCTGCAGCAAAATATAACCAGGGATGCAATGCTTCGCTGGGATTCAGGTATTTCACTTTTTTCCGGGATGTCTCGCCGAGTGTGTCTGGGGCTCCTACGTAGAAGCTCGCTGTACGTCGCAGATGCACTTTCTATAAACGCATGTATTGCAAAGAGACAGACAGGCAGACAGACAGACAGACAGATACACACACACACACACACACACACACACACACACACACACACACACACACACACACACACTCACAAACGGAGAAACATACAGAACGAGCGAGCGAGAGAAACGGAGCCCGAGACAGAGAAATGGATAGAGGGAGATAGAGACACACAGACAGACCGAAACAGAAACAGCCTGAGAGATTATACTTATAACCCGTAACAGATACACCCCACAGTATACACATATCACCCTCAACCTAAGACTACTAAGTAACACCCAACACGTTGTTATCCCAGAAAATCCTTCGCGTAACACGGCCGCGCAGGTTCCCATGGCCAGCACCTGTAACAGCTGCTATAAAGAGAGAGGGGAAAAAGAACTTTGAGGCGTGATCTAACTTCCCCGAAGTATTTTTAGGGGTCGCCGGATCGCCAGGGGCCATGCTGGTGGAGGGGAAAGGGGAGGGAAAGGGAGGGGAGGGAAAGGGAAGGGAAGGGGAGGGAAAGGGAAAGGGAAGGGGAAAAGGAGAAGAGGAGGGAAGGGAAAGGGAGAGCAGAGGAGAGAAGAGGAGAGGAGGAGGAAAGGGAAGGGAGAGGAGAGGAGAGGAGAGAAGGGAAGGTAAAAGAACGGAGAAGGAGAGGAGAGGAAAAGAAAGGGAAGGAGGGGGTAGAAGAGGAGGAAAAGAGAAGGGAGGAAAGGAGAGGAAAGGAACATGTCAGTGGAAGAGAAGGGAAGAGGGATTTGACGGGAAGGGAAGTCAGGGCAAGTTAAGTAGGTGGGGGAGAGGAAGGGATAAGGGAAGTAAAGGGGAAGGAAGGGGGCGGAAGGGCGGGTCACTAAGTACTCCTGTAGCGCGTCCGGTGCCCAAGCACACCATATGTCGTCGGGTCACCATAGACGTGTATCTGTAGTGCACCGGTATAGGCTGCATCAGATTGATTCTCCAGAAGGGATCACTCTTGCACAGGAAGTCCAGTTCTGTCTGCCTGTCTACCTATACATACATATACATATTTACACTTCTACACACACAAAAACAAAAATAAAGAGAGGGAGAGAGAGAGAGAGAGAGAGAGAGAGAGAGAGAGAGAGAGAGAGAGAGAGAGAGAGAGAGAGAGAGAGAGAGGATAAGAAGGGAACACAAGCGTAGGAAGATTAAAAAAAGGAGTGGGGGAGAGACGGAGAGAGAGAAAGAGAGCTTGTTAGCAGCCGCCAGGACCCGAGGCACAATTCACACGACTAGCTGTCTCTCTCTCACACTCAGAGGCCCCCTACCCCACCCTCCCCCCTCCCCCACCCCACCCTCTCAGCGGAAATCTCTCGCTGATATTTTTGCGCGTGATAACAGGTCTTTGTTGGGAAGAAACAGAGGACTAATGGTACTGTTCCTGTAGCATGTTAATGAAAAAAAGGGAAAAAAAAGGAAAATTGACATTTTGAGTTGTCTAAAAAGTTGTAGTTGTTTTTTATTATTTTATTTGAGTTAGATATTCAGTGTGGAGTAAAAAAATGTTTGGTCTAAATTTGTTTAGTCAGTGGAATTAGGACATTCGCAAATGAACGAATGGAAACAATGCTAAACGGGAGAATAGGAAAGAAACAAGAGAGAGGAAGCGACGAGGAAAGAGAATAGAGGAAATTCATTCAGAAATATAAATGCCTGAAATCGATGCCCCAACCCTTTACGCAAACGCCCCCTTTAACACACACCCTTCTCCCTCCCTCCCTTCCCCCTCCCTCCCTCCCTTCCATCTCCCCTCCGTCCCTCCCTCCCACCATCTCTCCTCCATCTCCCATACTTCACTCCCCCTCCCTCCATCTCCCCTCCACCCTCTCCCTCCCTCCATCTCCCTTCCCCCCTCCTTCTCCCTCCCTTTACTTAGCTTCATACACCAGATAGCGCCCGTGCGTACCCCCATGACGCAACGGTCGGCCGTGATCAGCGACCTGCGAAACTTTCACCCGATGCCCAGCGATCGCCCTTAAGGAACGGGGGGAGGGGGGAGGGGGGGTGTCTTGAGAAGGCCGAGATGTGTTCTCTCCCTCCCTCCCTCCCTCCTCCATCCTCCCTCCCCATTCCCTCTCCCCCGTCCTTCCCCTCTCCCCTCTCCCGACGGATCGTTGCCAGGTCTCGCCAGTAGAGTGTTTCTGGGCAAGAACGAGTCGGACCGTAAGTCTTAATCAAATAAATGTTGGCCTTCGTATAATTTATTTTTTTTTAGATTTTTTTTTTATGCGTGGAGGTTCCCCGGCCAGGTGTTCCTAATGGGAGTGGCTGGAACTCAGGTGCGCCGCCGTCTTCGAGATAAACTGGTGTAGGAACTTGTCGGTAATTTGACTGTGCAATTGAAGGCATTGCTTGCAATATACGTGGGATATTATTTTGCACGCGGACGAGTCGTAGACTTATAAACTTAAGTTATTCTTAAGTTTTTTATGCTTTCTATTTATCATATCCTGATTGTTTTTACTTAGAAGAAGAAGAAATATGTGCCTATTCCTCACGCAAGTAAAATTCTGCCGTTTTTTCTATTATATATTTCGTGGCTTGTTTGAAAGGCTCTCCTTTCTCCAGCCGCGAAATGGCAGAAGCCCATTCATTCCTGTTCTATCTTCCTCTTTTTTTCTTCTTTTTTGTCTCTTGTACGAGTTCTTTCCTTATTTTTTTTTCTTTTGTTTTTCTCCTCCTTCTCCTTCTTGTACAAATACACTTCATCTTCTTTTACGTCTTTTCTTTTCTTCTTCTTCTTCTTCTCCTCCTCCTCCTTCTTCTTTTCCTCCTTTTTCTTCTTCTCCTTCCTCGGGTACAAACCCACTCCATCCTCCCTATTTCTTCCTCCTTCTCTTTTTCTTCTTCTTCTTCTTCTCCTTCATCATCCTCTTATTTCCCCCTGTGGTCCAGCTCCCTTCCACCCTCCCCCACCCCCCCTCCCCCCGCCCGCTTCCTCCCCCTCATCCACATCACAGACTCCGGCCAGGAAGGAGTCGAGCGCCAGAGGAACAAAGGAGCTCGCTGGACGACGACATACCGCGGCCTGTGTGTGGAGGGGGAGGGAGGGGAGGTGGGAGGGGAGGGAGGGGGAAGTTTGTGGAAGGAGGGGAGGAGGAAGGTGATGGGGAGGGAGGGAAGGGGGTGGGGAGTTTGTGGGAGGAGGGAAGGAGGAAGGTGGGGGAGAAAGGGAAGGTGATGGGGAGGGAGGGGGAGTTTGTGGGAGGAACTTGGTGGGGAAGGGAGAGAAAGAGAGAAGTGGGGGATTGTAGGGGAAAAGGGAAAGGGGGAAGGTGGCTTAGGGAATGAGGGGAAAGGGGGAGGGAATGCTAAAGGAGGTGGATGAATGAAGGGGGAAGGGGGTGGCGGCTGCGTGTGGGGGGGGGGTGAGTGGGGGATGCTTGTGTTTGTGGATAATTCTATGTCTATGCATGTGAAAGGGATGTTGTATATGGATGTGGGCGATTGCTGTGTCTGTGTGAATGAGAGGCATTTATCCAGCGCTTTCTAAGATATTTCATTCAGTAGATATCAGTGTGTCTATCATTTCCTTTGTCTGTTTGTTTGTCCTTGCGTCTTGAGCCTGTGTTTAT